GATTGGTGACGCCGGAACGGAGATGGTGATTGCCGAGATCTTGGCGTGAATGGCGTAGGCTTGAGAACGCACGAACTGGGAGAATGTGAGATGGTGATTGCCGATTCGTGAGGGCGGAGAAGACGAGAACGACACAGGGGTTGAGGGGTTGAGATCTGTGAATTTCGGCCGACTTGGGAGAAGGGTTGGAAATCGGGTAGGGAGAAGGGCTGGGAAGTGGAATTGGGTTTTTTTTCATTGGGCTATAACTAAAAGATTTGGTCTGGGCTAGTGGGCTTACATATATTTAACAGTTAACACTTACTATGGGCTCGGTTATTCGGTCGGTTTCGGTTAACATTGCCCAAAACCGAAACCGAAACCGATAACCGAATTAACCGAATTTTTTTTACATTAAAACCGAAAACCGAAACCGAATTTAAAATTATGGTCGGTTCGGATATAGTGTATCGGTTAATCGGTCGGTTCGGTTAATTTGCTCACCCCTAATATGCGACAATATTTCTATAAGTATTCATGTGGGAAATAAGAAATGTGCAGATTAGAAAGATGTGTGAGTTAATACTCGTTAACGTCAGGCCTAAAAGTGCATCCACGAGTCGATTTGGTCCAGTAAGTGTGGTTTAGTTAAATTAATCTCAGTAACTAGGAAATGTGAATCAAATTAGTTATTAATTCAAAATTTATATTTTAAAATTATAAGTTAACACATTAATTGATACAAAAAATAATACACGAGGTCATTATTCTTGCATCAATTAACGTGATAACTTAGAATTTTAGGAGATAAATTGTGTTCGAGGGACTAACTTGATTCACATTTTCTATATATAGAGACAAAAATGATTATTAACTCAAAGATTTATATTCTCTGTATATTAATTGCCAAAAAAGCTCTAGTTTCTCTTGTTTTTTAGAACCTAATCATCAATTTTAGTGTTTTCAAAACATATTTTTAAAATTTCTATGGTTTCAAATTATGGTACATGCACCAACTCCGACTATTTTCTGCTCACTTTTCCGGCGTAGAGGTGGGATTTGTCAATATTGATGCCAAATTTTTAAACCACATGGAGTATCAGAGCCCATTATCCTATTTTCATTAATTTTTAATTGTTCTTTACGATGTTTTAAAGTTTTAGAATAATTCATTTTTGAAATAAAAAATAAAAGAAATGAAAAAATTAAAATGTACTTTGTCCATATTGACTAAAACTTTTTTTACTTTTTAGTTTTCTAAAATAATACTCATAAAAAGTGATATGTTAAAAAAAAAAGAACAGACTCTCCACCAGGCCCCATGGAGGAATTTTAATTTCTTCACGCTCGGCCCAGTTTAGCTGTCTCATCCAAAATGCCCTCCAGTTGGGCCTCCTTTCTTGATTTTTGACGTGTTCTTCAATGTTGTAAGAAATTGAAACAAACTAGAAGGAATTCGTTAGAATTGAAAAGAATTGAAAGAAATTAGAAGAAATGGAAGAAACTAGAAAAAATTAATTGAAATTCTAAAAACTAGAATAAATTGAAAAATCTAAAAAATATTTACAAAACTTTTTTTTGTGTATTTTTATATTATTCTCATTCTAATTCTTGTTATTATAAATTATTAATATTATTATTATTATTATTGTTGTTGTTGTTGTTGTTATTGTTATTGTTATTGTTGTTGTTGTTGTTGTCATCACGTTATCTTAATGCATGCATCTAGGATAAAAAAATATTCTTATTTTTCATACACAGAAAATTACTTTTGCAAAAAAATTAATTAGAATATATAATTATTAATTAGCATAAATATCAAGTGTTTAAAATTTAAAAGTTAATTTGGTTACGTTGCACGTCACTTTATTTATGCAATATTTATCATTAAATTATATATTTGTATTTATACTTTATATATTAGAAAATTTTGTTTTAAATATCAGACATGTCACATAATGTGATCAGTGTGAACCATAAAAATAGTGAGATAAAAATATGAAATAATGTATAGTGTAATAGTAATAGTAATAACAATAATAATAATAATATATCATTTTTAGAATAATTGGTCGGGAAGTAGAAAGAGTTTGAAGAAATAAAAATAGTTAGAAGAAAATGGAAGGAATTAAAAAAAAGGGAAGGATTTGGAAAAAACTGAAAGGAACAATAAGAAACTGAAAATTAGAAGTTCAAACCCAAAAGAACATGCTCTTAATGAACCAAACATCATACATTCCCAGTGCCATATTATGAAATTATGGGAAATTTACTTAAATAGTATTAAACAAAGTAACTTTTCCAATATTATATCATATGTTTTTATTTTCTAATGTATTACCACTGGTCATTGTTCAAGTAAATGTCTATCGCCACTGGACATTGTTCAAACTAAATGTCCGTCATTAGTGGACATTGTTCACGCCACTAGACATTATTCAAGTATTATTTAGAGAATAAAAAATATTAAGTAGTATATTGAGAAATAAAATATGTTTTAATATTATTCGGGTGCAAATTTTAACCAAAAGAGTTTCAAAAATCACAAAATTTTACTCCGTATTTGGTATGTTTTCATTTTGTAATTAAATTAAGAGATAAACTCGAGAAGATGAGGGTGGCTAGTACGCGTACAAGACGACGCGCAGTCCCGTAGGCGGAAGGGAAGATCACGAGTTATTGTCGTCCCCACTTGCAGTTATAACCTCTTCACGCCAAACTTCCTTTCCTTTCTTCACACACACATAAATACTCCGAATCTATCCATCAATTACTCCTACCAAACCCCACCCGACTCTCTTCTCTGTATTCTGTTCTTCTTTCTTCTCCGATCAAATCTCTCTCGATCATGAGCTATTACAATCAGCAGGGCCAGCCTCCCGTCGGCGTCCCACCTCCCCAAGGTATTCACTTCATCTGCATCTTCGATTTATTTACTCGATTGAACTCGTGATTAACTGAATATTCAGTCCTTTTTTTTTTAGTAGATCTGATGGATTTGCCTTGATTTTCAGGGTATCCGGATCAGCCCAAGGATGCATACCCTCCTCCGCAAGGTTACCCTGCCCCGGGCTACCCGCCGCCGCCGGGCTATTATGGTCAGCCGCCGCCGCCTCCGGGTTACGCTCCCCAATACCCCCAATACGCCCCTCCCCCGCCGCAGCCCCAGCATCAGCATGGTAATAGTGGCACCGGAGTCATGGAAGGATGGTGAGTTCGCCTCCGCCGCTACCGTTTCAATTTTTACTTGGTTTTTACTGTTGCGGTAGATCTGTGTGCTTTGTTGACTCCCTTCTGCCCGGTTCTGTTTGGATTATTTCTTTCTGAGTCTCTACTCATATAAACTTGATCCCTAATTACATTGAAGATCCATTTGGTACATGGAATTGACGGAATCCGAGTTGAAATTCTACGAGATTGAATTGGATTAATTCATTTTTTTCATTACCGATTCCAAATTTGTGTGCTACCCAACATCAGAATTAGAATTGAAGTCTCCGATTCTAATTTTTATGGCTTGAATTCCATGTAACAAATGGAGTCTAAACTTTTACCTCAATCAATCAAGATAAACCACATCTATTTTTATCACTCCACACCATACTTTCTTTATTCATCACAAAATTTCTTTGTTTTCGTGATTTTTGAAGGCTAGAACACAAAAATTTAGTCCCACTTCATTATTGCGTTATGTGGTAGCATGTTTAAGGTGGAACAACATTTTTTATATATAGGGGATTTTCTCTCCTTATATTGTAGCCATTTGACATTAGTATTACTAAAAATCAAATCTACCCTACTACTCAATTCGTTCCGAATCAATAATTTTTTTGGTTCTCTTTGATCTGTTCCCAAAGAAAAAGAGATCTGTTCCCAAAGAATAAATTTATTTTCTCTTCATAATAAATCTCAACCTTAGGATTTCAAAACTTCGGGCCTATATGGGAATAACGCTAGAGACTACCGTTAGCGTTTTGAAAAAACTATCCACGGGGAGCGTTTAGGGTTAGCATTTTTAAAAAAATCTGCACCGTTAAAATTTTATCCAAAATGCTAATACTAATTTCTAACGCTATTCTCAAATAGGACCTTCCTTGATCTTAGTGATATGTTGGTAAATATATCTATTGTTTGTGGTGTTTTTCTGGTGGGTATTATTCTATAATTTGTATGAATTAATGGCAATGGATTGACATATAATTGGTTAACAAATGTGTTTTTGTGCATTGCAGTTTGGCTGCCCTTTGCTGTTGTTGCCTCTTAGATGCATGCTTTTGAAGAAGGCTAAATAATGGTTGAGCTGCGCGGCGATATTATTATTGTCTATCCTATATAATCTCCTCCCCCCGTGATTTGCATTTACCCTTTTTTTCTATTTTAACTTTGAGACTGTATGTGATTGTGGATTATTGTTTCCAAAAGTGTGTTATTTTCTGTCTTTGAAACTCTTCATTCTTTTCTTTTTCTTGTTTTTTTCTTTCATGTATTTTTTTTTACAACAAAAAACTTTGTAACAATAGAATAATACTATTCCTCCATCCAACAATAGTATTCTCGTTCATCATTTACAATTTACAGAGTCAAATTTTGTTTATTTTGTTGGTGTATTTTTGTTGTCTATTTGATGAAGTAATACTCCATATAGTCATGTCTTTTTTGGTTTTATAGATTTTTCCATGTATTTTCCCTGTTCTATTTTATATTGTCTAGTTTGACTTTGAGGCATAATTAAGAAAGGAAATAAATGGTGTGGATTTTTCAAAAATGTCTTTCATCATATATATATATATTGAAGCTAAAAAGTGAACATAAAAGACTTCCCATCTCACAAATAATCAAACATCTATTAAATTAAACACCAAACACATCTAAATTACATCACACCAAATTACATGCAAACATTAACTCTCAAGAAAGAAGCAAAAAAGAACTCCATAGCTTTAGCAACTCGAGTAGCGGATCTGCAAGACTGCAACATTCAAGAATCAAATTTTAGCATATTTCGTATAACTCTACAAGTTCAATATGATCACAAATGATGACTCTACAAGTTCAACATTCATGAATTGAAATTTAAGCATATTCGGAATAGTTTAGGAATAGATTTTTATTTTATAATTTCATACGATATTTTTTACTTCCTCCTCCGTCTTAAAATGTACACAACAGTTACTATTTCAGCCTCTCGATAACTTTGGTTTGTTTACTTGTTTTGGTTGACCATTTAATAAAATAAAATATTCTTATCGTATTTTGTTTTGTAGAATTTTGATCTATTTTTGAATGGTGTAATTTCTTACTTTTCATTTCTCTACCAATTTGTAAAAAAATGATACTAAAAGAGATGATATTTTGCACGTCGTTTGAAATGTTGCTTAAAATAATTTTGGGACAGAGAGTAAAATAATTTGATAATAACTTCAGTTACACATTGTAATGTGCAACATGCACATTACTGTAAGAGGAGGGGGTAGTCACTTTAATATGAAGGGTTGACATGGTATGGTGTGAATAAGTATTTACGTGACACTAATCGGGCAAAATAATTAATTGTCCCTTAAATATGAATCAAGAGAATACCACTTTGTACTATGGAGTGCTATATTCTTAAGAATGGCCTTCTAAAAGAGTACTTACTCATTAGTGTGATTTTGGTATGGTATAGAACATGATTTAACTCTAATTGATACCCAATGATTCGAAACGACTGTTTTGGTTTGTATGATATTTTACGTCATACTAATGTTAATCTTGAAATATTTGTTTGGGATGATTCGAATGATTCGATATTGATTTCGGCATAATTGGATTGAAAACATACGCATCTATTATGGTAAATTTTTCATGGTCCTAAGATCATCACTTATTTTATGGACCTTAATATATAAATGTCTTGGACATATTTGGTGTGGAAGTATGGCTCTTTAGACATATTTAAACTATCGTAGGAGATTTGGTCAATTTTGGACACACACGTTCGATGTGGAGGTCTCAAGTCATAATATGGTCCCTACAATATCTCAATAAAAGTACGTTAAACAGATATGATCAAAATTTTGGTGAATTGACACCCGTACAAGGTATGACTCTTTAGACATATTTGGAACTATTGTGGGCGATTTGGTTGATTTTGGACACATTTAGTGTGGACGTCTCAATGCATAGTATGGTCTCAATACAATATTTTAACAAAAATATGTTAAACACATATGATTCAAACTTTGGTAGATTGACACCTTGGAGAATTAAATTATGTCTCAAGTGCTTTACAATCATTCCCCATACCTAAGAAAATATGAGGTGTTACCCTTATCTGCTTGAAGAGTTAGGAATAGCGTGCGGTTGTCTAATTCTATATATAGACATAGTGTGATGATCAAAATCATCCTCCACCCATGTCAATGCCTCCCGCACCCCCCCCATTGCCTCAACGAGCAAAACACTACTGTACATTCCTAGTATAAAGTACCCTAAAGTATTACGCACCGCAAAAAAAATATTTTATTTATAAATAAAAATAATGATAGACAAAATATTATCTTGAATACTGTAAAAAATAAAATAAATGGGAGCTTTATTTTGGATGAAAAATGTACGGAGTATAAATTTTAATTTTATAGGGAGTCTAAAAATATTTACCAATGTACCATTCTGAGCGCGTCTAATTGGGTACTCGGTATTATTTATGCTTCATTTTTTATTGGAACAAAACCCCCGCTTTGTTTTATGTAATATAACTATTAATCTCATCCTCCAACACAAAGGGCATTTGGTCTAGTGGTATGATTCTCGCTTAGGGTGCGAGAGGTCCCGAGTTCAATTCTCGGAATGCCCCTCTTTCCTTTTTTTACATTAACTTCGCGAATTCTGATTTCACCTACCCCTTTGTATTTTTCAATTCCCAAATAAAGTTATTTTTTAGGTCTATTTTAAAATAATCTTTACATAAATGATAAATAGTCCTATACAGAGATTATTTGTCGGGGGTTAATTGTTTAGACTTTATAGTTGTAAATTTTTCAAATAAACATATTTTACATGCATAATTTAATTAAAAGATTTAGAGAGATAAAAGTAATAGTCGTCCCCTGCTAAGTGATTGGAATTTGTACAATCCTTTTAATATTAGCGTTTTAATGTTAATTTATACCACTTTATATTTTTCTGGCATACTGCAAATACCTTTATAAAATACATCTTAAATGATTGCAATTTACTTAGAAAAAACATATGCAAAATATATATATCTTTGTTATATTTCAGTTTTACGAAATATTATTGATGGTTGTCTCTTTACTATGTCTTATTTTAACGAAAATAAGGTGCTTCACACTTTAGATAAACTTTGAGAATCTATTCTATTTGATTTTGTTACGTTATTATTGAGTTCTTAATGATGTTGATTTTTATTTTTTTGAAAAAAATTAAAAATTACAAACATATAATCTAAAACTAATCTTAAAAGTAGCAACAATTTTATCTATAATTGTTAGAATTAAAAGCAACTGAAGAAACAAATTCTTTCATTTATTACCTAATCCAACTAAATTAAATTAAGGAGACATATTTGAGTCAATTTGACGGACTCACAGTACGAATCATACACGGAGTACACAGTTTACAAACTTTATTTTCTTTTCAGCTTCAAATCCCCTGCCCCCAACAAATCCTAGTAATCTGATCAATCTCTTCTATCTGAAGCAATCCGTGGAAATGGGTAGCTCTGAAAGACCGAAAGGTGCAATCTTGCTGGGGTTGCTACTGGCGGCGGCGCTCCAATCGGCGGCGGGTCGGTTCGTGGTGGAGAAGAATAGCTTAAAGGTGCTCTCCCCTGATTCCATAAGAGGAACTTACGATTCTGCCCTCGGGAACTTTGGGGTTCCTCAGTATGGAGGCAGCATGACTGGGGTTGTCGTCTACCCTAAGGAAAACCGGAAGGGATGCAAGGAATTCCATGACTTTGGGATTTCATTCACCTCTAAACCCGGTTCTTTGCCCACCTTTGTTCTTGTGGACCGTGGAGGTGCGTTTGGCTGTTTCTTTTCTTTTTCTTTCTTCTCAATTGTTACTTTAATTCAGTAATTTAGCTGTTTAATTTCCACATTTATTAGGGATTTTTAAGTCTGTTGGACTTTTATTAGTTATTGTATTTTTAGCATTCAGTCATTTATGGAAGGATTGGAAGTGTCCGGACTGAGCTATACTTGTGTAGGACTTTTATTGTGGTGAGATGGAGGGAATTAATATTTAACAATTTCCATAATGGAACTATGTGTGAGAATAATGGAAAAAAGGGGGAATAGATTTGTGTGGAAAGAATATATTACGATGCATAAGGGTTTTGTTGAGTTGAATTGTGAATATGAAGTGTTTCAGCAGCCTAACCTCATATGGAAAACAAGTACTCCATCTGTCCAAAGATAAACATATTTTCTTTTTTGGTATGTCCCAAAATGAACTCCCATTTCCTTTATTTTTTTGGTAAAAAATCTCATTTTCTCTCTTTTCAAATCAATTACAATCACTCACATTTTCAGTTTTTAACACTCGTCTTCAACCCCATGTCCGGTCAAGTTGGAGTCTTATTTTGGGATAGAGGGAGTGTATGGAAGTACGTAGTTTGGTTCAAAATGGGCTGGGGGAATAATAATTTTGCTGAATTAAAGCTAAAATCAGTTTGTTTTTTCTCTTATGTTATTATTGGCTTTTATTATGTTTTTTGTTCCTTATGGTTTGAATTGATAAGATTTGGGGGGAAACATTGCCAAACTAAACTGAATAACATTATAATTTGGTTTCAACGTTTCGTGGTGAGTTAAGTCAGTTTGGGAGAAGCACTAACTGTCCCTTTTTGAAACACGGACTAACATTACCTCTTCTTTTGCAGATTGCCACTTTGCATTGAAGGCTTGGAATGCTCAGAAATCTGGTGCTTCGGCAGTGTTAGTCGCGGATGACATAGATGAGCGGTTGATAACTATGGACTCGCCCGAAGAGGACGGGTCTTCTTCAAGCTACGTGGAAAACATAACGATTCCATCTGCACTTGTTGAGAAAAGCTTTGGGGAGAAGTTGAAGAAATCGCTAAGGGAAGAAGAAATGGTCAGTGTGAATCTTGATTGGAGAGAAACTCTCCCTCACCCGGATGACCGTGTCGAATATGAACTGTGGACGAACAGCAACGATGAGTGTGGGTATAAGTGTGATATGCTGATGAGGTTTGTGAAAGATTTCAAAGGAGCCGCGCAGATCTTAGAGAAAGGCGAGTACACTCAGTTCACCCCACATTATATTACATGGTATTGCCCTCAGGCCTTCACTGTGAGCAAACAGTGCAAGTCTCAATGCATTAATCATGGGAGATACTGTGCTCCGGATCCCGAACAAGATTTTAGCTCAGGTTATGATGGGAAGGATGTTGTTGTTGAAAATCTGAGGCAACTTTGTGTCTTTAAAGTTGCCAAAGAGGCCAAGAAGCCATGGGTTTGGTGGGATTACGTGACCGACTTCCAGATTCGGTGCCCCATGAAGGAGAAGAAGTATAACAAGGAATGCGCCGATGGTGTAATCAAGTCTTTAGGTATACTTTTTGTACTAAAATAATGCAGAGTAACAATTATTGCAATACTCTAGTAGTGCACTTGGGATGATCTAGTTTCATGGAATACATGCTTTCTAGTGGGAAAAAGTACTTTTTCTTTTTAAAAAAGTGCTTCAACAACTAAAAACAGCGCTTTTAAAGCTTATTTAGAAAGCATCACATTGAGAACCTGCTTGGGATAATATGAAGCATTCGAAGCACTTAATGAAGCATCCGAAGAGTTTTTTTAACCATTTGAAGTATTTGTTCTTTTTCCAATTTTCTCTTAAATGGTTCTATTTGAAGATGTAACTCTTTGTGAAAATTTGTGTCAAACATTCTCCTGGACCTCCAACAGGTCAGTTAATGATAATGCATGTTGCTTACCTTGCAGGTCTTGATCTGCAAAAGATAGAGAAGTGTCTTGGAGATCCCAATGCAGATGCTGATAACCCTGTCTTGAAAGAAGAGCAAGATGCTCAAGTGAGTGTGAATGATTTTCCTAATCATTTCAATGTTTTCTAATCTCAATTTCTATTATTCTGACACTTGAAACTTCTATTAGATTGGTAAAGGTTCACGGGGTGATGTGACCATTTTGCCTACTCTTGTTGTCAACAATAGACAGTATCGAGGTTTGTGTTGATTCTTAAAAATTAGTTTTTATTGTGGGTAGCCAGTCATTTTCTTCAAACACTTTTTTCTTGCAGGGAAGTTAGCAAAAGGCGCTGTGTTGAAGGCAATTTGTGCTGGTTTTGAGGAAACTACAGAACCTGCTGTTTGTCTTAATGGAGGTGTGTTTACTTCTCATGAATACGCATTTGTTTGCTTTGGTAGAATATGCGAAGTGGGAGGAAGAAGTTACTACGGGTATTATATTTCCATGTATGAGGGTAATGTTTGTAATAGAAATGGTAAAATAATAGGGGAAATATGTTTGTACAAGGATTTTTATCTCATTTCTCCACACATATCCGTCCTTCCTTCTATTCTACTCCTAAAAATGAGTCTCATCTAGTTTGGTCACATTTTTTTTGTCAACACAACTTTAATAAGTATTATTACATTTTTCAAAGAGTATTTCTTTCCTTCTTACTCTCCATATATAAACAAATCATAAAAATAAATATCATGTGATATATTTAAAATTTTAACTGTTACCTAAATACGGATGCTCTGTTTTCTCACCGCAGACATTGAGACAAACGAGTGCTTAGACAACAACGGTGGCTGCTGGCAAGACAAGGCTGCCAACATAACTGCCTGCAAGGTTCTTGCATTAATCTTCATTTTTTATTCACCCCAGCCCTCTTAATGAAAAGAGTCCACTTTGATGAACGTACAACTTTTTTTTACTTTTGAATTTTAGTATGTTACAACTTATTGAAAATAATAAATAAACCTACATTTTCAAACAAGATGAATAATGTGACTCATTTTATGGGAGAAACAAGTTGAGTGCCCTTTGGTGTGTATTCATTATTCATTCAGGATACTTTTCGTGGACGAGTGTGTGAGTGCCCTTTGGTTGATGGTGTGCAGTTTAAGGGAGATGGTTACAACTTTTGCAACCGTAAGTATACATACGGTATTTATAGGCTTTTGAACATGTCGCCGTCATGTTTTTACCTTATTATGGATATTCGCATTTGCAGCAAGTGGGCCCGGCCGGTGTCACATCAATCACGGGGGTTGTTGGCATGAAACCCGAAATGGACATAGTTATTCTGCCTGTGTGGTCAGTCACATTTTATCATGTAGAAGAGTCAAGAGACTTCCCACTTTTGGTTTAAACTATCACCCATTGTTTTTTGTCACTGGTTTTCGTCTTGGTGCACATGAATATGGATTACTTGCTACTTGTAGTCTTTTTTGTCACTTATCTTGCAAAATTCAAGTAGACATTATACAAAAACATGTGGGATAAAGATAAATGACTGGAAGGACTCGAAGTGTCAAAGTGACAAGAAATTCAATCCAGTGCATAAAAATAGATAAAAATGAAACCCAGAGACCAAACAACAAACCCCATAAAATCCCACATATTCCTAAGGTCTAAAATTTCATATGGTGGCATGGTGCATTTTCTTGCGGTTCTAAACTCATAGCTCATTTTAGCAGATTAATGGAGATGGAAAGTGCACTTGTCCTCCAGGATTCAAAGGTGATGGTAAGAGTTGTGAAGGTAAGATTGTTACGGCTTGATGAAACTTAAGAATTCAAACTCCATTGAATTTATGCTTGACTACCTGATTAATAACCCGTGCTAATGTTAACTTTCAAATCATATTCTATGATTAGATATCGATGAATGCAAAGAAAAGAGGGCCTGCCAGTGCCCTGAATGCAACTGCAAGAATACATGGGGTGATTATGAATGCACTTGCAGTAATGACCTTTTGTATATGAGAGATCACGACACCTGCATAAGTGAGTGCCTTTTTGTTTTTTCTTTTAGAAATCCTATTATATTTCTTCACCTACACACACACACACACACACACACAGAGAGAGAGAGAGAGAGAGAGAGAGCACATTTGTCACCATTCACACCCAATTGCAGGTAAGACAGCTACTCAAGTCAAGTCTTCTTGGGTGGGCGTTTGGGTCATTTTGATAGGACTGGCTGCCGTTGCTGGCACTGCATATCTTGTATACAAATACAGATTAAGGGTAAGTTTCTTTAACCCCAACTGCCTTTTCCTTTATACTAATAGTGGCACATTTTGAACAAAGGGTTTCTTGGAAACATCTCTTATTTTGAGTAGGGGGGGAGGAATATCTGCTTACACACATACCCTCCATATACCCTACAGTTGTGGGTTCTTATTGGGTCTTTTGCTCTTGTTTGGCCATCTAATGTTTCATGTGTCTTTATTCAAATCGCAGACATATATGGATTCAGAGATCAGAGCGATAATGGCACAATACATGCCACTAGATAGCCAGCGTGAGGTTCCAAGTCACACAGGCGATGCCCGTGCTTGAGAGAGTGCTTAGCGTTTCGACTAACTCCCCTCCTAATGCTGGACCCCACTTCAGCAGGAGATGTAAATACCCTTTTCTTATTTTTTCGGATGGAATCACACGCTTTGTCTCCGCGTCCCCGAGGAGGGTATTATGGTAATTTTTACTATTAGTTGTAGAAAGAGTTGGGCATTGGTGCACCATATCTTTGTGTCATGTACTTGTAATGATTAAAAAATGCCACCGTACATTTTGGTAGGAACAAGTGAACAACAGCCACTGGCAGGCATATTCTTGAAGGGTTGTGCTGCCATAATTTTATTCAAAACCGTATGCATCAAGCTTCATTCTTGTATGATTACCGTGGCTGGTAAAAAATATTTTTTATTTATTTAAATAAGCATGATTATGAGCTATGAAATTCATCAACCAGAGGTTATTTTCAATGTCTGTTTTTTAAATTTTGGAGATATGATGATATATGGATTATGGAATTTAGGAGATACAATATGAATTGTGAAATCTGAAAGAAGAGTGGAGAAAATGGAAAAGAAATGCAATCAAATGAGTGAGCTTCATTTGAGCATAGAGATTTATGTGTAATGAGTCTAATAACAATAAACAAAGGTTACGGGCAATCATCAATTTTCAAGTTGGCTTTTTTTTTTTACAAATAGAATAAATTGTTTTCATGAACAATTAAATGTTACTCCATCCGTCCCATTTTAAATTGCCTGTTTGCCTTTTTTTTCGTCCCAAAATAAATTCCCTGTTAGTTGTTTTCGTAAAATATTAAAAATAAAATACCTAAACTACCCTTAAAATAAGTCATTTTTTTTCACCTTATCTTCTCATTCATCATTACCTCTCTTAAAAAGTAATGTCAATTTTGAAAAATCAACTTTATTTTTTATTTTCCTTAAATATGCCCAAAAGTCAAAACGGGCGATTTAAATTGGGACGGGGGAGTATTAGAATCTGAACTTGGGTAAGTGATAATGTTATGTGACCGAGGAGATACTCCAATTAAATGTTACATAGTCTTATTTTTGGATAAACATATGGAGCTTCTATATCAGGACATTCTTTATATTTTACTTTTATTTAGTATGATTTCTTCATAAATTAGTAGAATAAAGTATTTCAATTTTAAGGAAGCAATTTTTAAATTTTAATTAAAAAAGTGCAATTAATCTTTAATAAGATATGAGTAAGTTAAATGAATTTAAAGGAAGTAATTTCTTTTAGAATATCAAATATATTAGTTTAAATTTATCAAATGTATAAATATCACGTTTTAAACATTACCCTACACTATTTGCTAAAAATGGTCAATGAACAATGATTATAAATAAAGTTCCTATACATGAAGTCTTTATTTTAATAATGATTTTAGATCTAATTAATGTGTACAGTCATGACCGACGTGTCAAAAAAGGCTCCCCATAGACATTCCATGTCTCAAGTTCTGGTAAACCGAGTCTGAAATATTATATTAAAGGATATGTCAAAAATGAAGAACCCTATCAATTTGGGAGAAAATCAAATCAATAAGAAATCATCAATAGAATTTGTCGATTTAATGAAATGAAGAAAAATTCATACCTAATACTGGTGTTGTACAATCCTCAATCGATGCGGATCCAGAAATTAGGAGTCATGGGATCCCGTCTCTTTAGTTGTGATTATATTTTTAAATATTTGGAGTCCATACCCTAAATAAAATAAACTTAAAAAATGAGTATTTGAATGAACACTCAAAATATGTTCTCCAATTGATTTGTTTAAAACCATAAACTTTCTCGTATAATTTTTTATAAGAGGAGGAGTAATATTGAATAATTTAACATTTAATCGTTCAAAAAATTATTTATTTGAATAAACATTCAAAATCAATAATTCTACCATAATAATACCAAATTTTTTTTGCAAGACACATTTAATATAATCATTTTCTATTACTTTACAATAAAATACTCCGGAGTATATGCTTAATTTATAATCTGAGCTCAAAGAAAGTGAATGCAATAAGATGGAGGGTATGTAAAATCTTAGGCCTTAAATTAAATTTTGTTCATCATTTATATTTTATGGATTTTAGAAAAATAAATACTCATCATTTATGATTGAATTTAGTTTGTAAAATAAAGAGTGAACATAAGAAAGAATAATCTCATTCTAATGCATCTCGTTAAAAAGAAAATTTTGAATTCAATTGATATAAGCATAAGCACTAATTGTTTTTAATGGATTTTATAAAAATTAAATATTGTACGGAGTATTATTTATGCTTGAATTTTGTGAAGAAAATTTTGTATTTTATTTATACATAAGAAGATAAGGAGTAAAAATTTGATTCTACCACATCCAACTAAGAAAACTAAAATTTAACTGATAATTTTTTGAATTTTTATAAGGAAATAGTGGAAGTACATATTAAAAAATACAAGATCTATCAAAGTAAGAAGGAAAAAAGAAGGATCAAGAAAATTAAAATTTAATTGATGTATTCTTGGTTCCATGTTTCTCTTGAACAACTCACATAATGTATTTTCTATCTTTGGATTTTTCGTATCATATCTCCGATCCCTAAACAAGCTGATGCACACTCACACAGTATGCAAGTTCTTTACCTTATATAATTGCACTTTAATTTTCTCTTCCACTGCTCAAAAACATTCTCTTCAACGATGAGTTTGTAGCTGAAAAAAAATCATCTGAAGTTAAGTTCTTCTGCAATCGCTTATACGTAACAGTGATGGACTTATCAACCTGCACACCCAACATCCATCAATGTTGTACAATCCTTATATTTTTTGTTGTCTTAGGACAACTCAATCTCAAATAAAAGAAGATAAATTGTACAAGTATTACACACCCAGCAAGATCAACAGCTCACAAATTGTACAAATGTTACTCACACTAAATTCCCAAAAAGGAGGCTCACAACACAGAGGTCACAACACAAATGAATGAAGAGAATTCAATAAATCTGTATTCTATATGTATGTGTATCAATCAATCTGTTGGTCATCAAGAGTTGCAAAAAAAAGAAAAGAACTCAATTACTCTTGGTGGTGGCCGTGGGCCATGGCCGGCGGTGGCACGGCGGCGGCGACAGAGGCAGCAGGAGCCCCAGGGGTTGTGGCAGCTGTGGCGGCCGCAGCAAGAGGCAGAGGGGTGGGGGTGATGGCGGCGGCATGGGGAGCAAGCTTGGTGGTTGTGGCGGCGGTGGCAGTGGGCCATGTGGTGGTAGGGCGGAAGGCGGTGTAAGCCGTTAGGGCAAGGGACAGTACCGCCGTGGCTTTTCCAAGCCATTTTATCTTCCTGTGGAGACTACGGTCTCGTGTATTTCTTTGAGCCGTCCATCCATGGTCTTCAAGATTTCCTCAACCAAGCTGTTCTTGACATCGGCTCTCTTCTTGAAAGTCTCCTCCACTGGGTTCTTGGCCGATTTTTCGTGCCCGAGAATTTCACCCCATTCTCGCTGCCGGATTTCGGCCATGAACCTAACCCAAACTCGCCTCTGGAATGAGGGTGAAATTCTCGAGCACAAAAAATCGGCCAAGAACCCAGTGGAGGAGACTTTCAAGAAGAGAGCCGATGTCAAGAACGGCTTGGTTGAGGAAATCTTGAAGACCATAGATGGACGGCTCAAAGAAATACACGAGACCGTAGTCTCCACAGGAAGATAAAATGGCTTGGAAAAGCCACGGCGGTAGAGTCCCTTGCCCTAACGGCTTACAGCGCCTTCCGCCCTGCCACCCTAGGGCCCACTGCCGCCGCTGCCACAACCACCAAGCCTGCTCCCCTGCCGCCGCCATCACCCACACCCACAGCCGCCACAGCCCTGGGGCTCCTGCTGCCTCAACCGCCGCCGCCGTGCCAACGCCATCCACGGCCCACGGCCACCACCAAGAGTAACTGAGTTCTTTTCTTTTTTTTGCAACTCTTGATGACCGACAGATTGATTGATACACATACATACATATAGAATACAGGTTGATTGAATTCATCTTCATTCATTTGTGTTGTGAGCCTCCTTTTTGGGAATTTAGTGTGAGTATACAATTTGTGAGCTGTTGATCTTGCTGGGTGTGTAATACTTGTACAATTTATCTTCTTTTATTTGAGAGTGAGTTGTCCTAAGACAACAAAAAATATAAGGATTGTACAACATTGATGGATTTTATAGCGCCTTCCACCCTGCCACCCCCACCCTTCTGCCTCCTGCTGCGGCAGCCACAGCCACGCTTGTTCCCATCATCCCATGTCTTCATATTTGTGACTAAAAAATCTATTTCCGTGTCTAACAAAAAAAATCAAGATGACAAAGAGTTCATAGTGGCAAAATTAATAGATTTTTTTCAGGTTAATCTTAAGAATTAGTAACTCCATTTTTTAACCCTCTAGTTCATTTGTTTAGTAAAATGTTTGATCCATGAGATTTCTTAAAAGTAGTAAACTGTTACCAAAAAGTAATGATAGACCAAAACCCCTCGGATGAGTATATTTTTGTATATCCAATATATGTATAAATTATAGGAAACATATAAATAAGAGCGTAGATAATATACTTTGACATGGAAACTAAATTGGCGAAAGTTACGGGTCGTTTTGGCAGTATCATACTAACGGGGTGTTTTATTATATATATTTCGGGAGTATATTCGTGCAACATATTAGAGTGACAACCATTGATGGAGCACAAAGCTCCACCGAGAAGGAGAAGACGAACGGAACGAATATAATATGTGTGAAATGTTGAAGGTGACTCCCCTCTTCTTCATAGATCTATGCCTCTTATATAGCACCAAAAGTAGGAACCTAGGGTTAGGATTCTCTAATGGACTTCTCGCGTGGACCTGCCCAATATTTTCAATTAGGCCCAAGGGATGTAATTGTATCAAGTAAAATATCAATTCGTAAAATATGAAATAAAATTTCTATACACCATTTAGGCCCTGTTTCGTTCAACTTATTTTTTCTTATTTTTTCTTATTCTTATTAAAATCAGATCAGATCACATCAAATCGAACCAGACCAGATCCAATCAGATCAGATCAAATCAGATCCAATCAGGTCACACCAGACTAGATCAGATCAGATCCCATAAAGAATTATTAGTATTGTTGTTGTTGTTGCTATTGTTGTTATTATTATTATTATTATTAAAAATGAAAAAGAATAAACTTTAGAAACAAGTTAAATAGAAAACTGAGAAATTAATTCTTAATTATTAGATGTCGAAAAAATTATTTTAAAAATATATTGACAATTTCAATCTAATTCTACATTTAAAATACATTTTTATTGCTACCTGTAATTTGAGTTTCTAAAATTTTGATCTTTTATAAGGATGAAATATTTTAATAAAAATACTATCTCATCTCTATATTGATTATATATAAATTAAATATTTATTCTAATGTATGCATGAACTAATTATTAAAATATTAAATCAATATTCTTATTTCACTAACAATAATCATAAAATAAAAAATATTATTACATTAAAATATGAATGATTATTCTAATATATAAATTAACTAATTTTATTTTATTAAAAAATAATTATAAAATAAAAAATATTGATTACTACGGTATATTATAATATAAATTATTATTATAATTTTCAAACGTTATTATAAACTCAAATCAAATTATTGATTTGAATTTTAAATCAAATCATAGATAATCATATCAGATTCAATCAGATCAGATTCAATCAGATTAGATCAGATTCAATCAGATTAGAATAGATTGAATCAGATTAGATGAAACCAAATAAAATCAAGTCAGATTAGAACTATAAAAAATCAAATTAGATCAAAAAAAAGTTTGGAGCCTTCACCTCCATTGTCTAGTAGTCTGGTACACCACTTAACCGCAGTCACCTGCTTGGACTTCCCTATCAAATCTAAATTCAAAATCACTTCCCCTAGCTCACCCCTCAAATTTCTCCTCTTCTTTCAAACGACGCTCTTTGAATCTTCAATCCTTCCCTGTTGATCTGGCGCCTGGTTGAGCGGATCACCGGCGGCATCATGACGGCGGCGCTAATCTCAGCCGGACGGGAGATATCCGATCCCCCGAAAGACGGCATATCTAATCTCCGCTTCTCCAACCACAGCGACCACCTCCTCGTTTCTTCCTGGGATAAGGTGAAAATCTGTTTTTTTTTTGTCTCAGCTCATTCCTTCACGATTGTTGATAATTCCTCGAATTTGGATTCGAATGCTCTAGATCTCACTCTGGATTTGTGTTCCTTTTCCTTGTTTCAAATTCGCAATAGACTGTAAGGCTGTACGATGCTAGTGCCAATTCGTTGAGAGGAGAGTTTCTGCACGGCGGTGCTGTGCTTGACTGTTGCTTCCACGATGACTCTTCTGGCTTCAGTGCTTCTGCAGATAACACCGTTAGAAGGTTCGCACCTCATAGAATTTTTGTTGATCTCTCAATGTACTCTAATTTTTGTAGACTGGGTTTCTTTGGGAACTTTTATCAAACAGGTTGTGAGCAACCTTAATAAGAAGAAATATATGAAACTAATATAAATGGGAGAACTCAGGAAATCAACAGAGGAATCAGAGAAGAACTTGATGATTTATTATTCCATAGGAAAGCCAATTTATAGGCAGTACATGAAAGAAACTGTATTTGCTAAAAAGAAGGAAAGCCATAGAAGTGTACAGCTACTTCCTAAAGAATAGGACAACAAACTTGATTAATACGGAGTACTAAAAATACTGAGTCAATACTAGACTTATTCAGCATTGGACTTATTCAACATTCCTTCTCGTAAACTGAAACATTTAGTATGTTCTCAGTTTAAGTAGGCTTACAAACACCAAGCAGGTTCCTTAACTTCAGAAAAGCTGAAATCTTCAAAGGTTTTGTCATTATATCCGCAAGTTGATCTTCGCTTCTGCAAAAGAGAAGCTCAATGATTCCATCTCTAGCAAGATCCCTGAGAAAATGAAACCGTACATCAATGTGCTTGCATCTTCCATGAAATACTGGATTCCTCGAGAGTCTTATTGTTGAACTATTATCACAGTAAATCAGAGTTGTCTCTTGCTTAAAATGCAAGCATTCAAGGATGTTTCTGAGCCAAATAGTTTGACAAGCACAACCAGCTGCAGCTACATATTCAGCTTCCGTAGTTGACAGAGTAACAATTGCTTGCTTCTTAGAGGACCATGAAACTGCCGTTGAGCCCATCATGAATACATAGCCTGATGTACTCTTCCTATCATCAAGATCACCTGCATAATCACTATCAGTAAAGCCATATATTGCTGATTTTTCACCCTTTTTGTAAAGGAGGCCATATCCAATAGTTCCCTTCAAGTACCGGAGAATCCTTTTTGCTGCCTGGAAATGAGATTCATCGGGACAATCCATATACCTGCTGATGAGGCTAACTCCATGCATTATATCAGGCCTTGTTGCTGTCAAATACATTAGACTTCCCACAATCTGTTTGAATGATGTATTGTCCACTTCTCTTCTTTCAGATTGCTTAGTTAGCTTCAAACCAACCTCAATTGGTGTATTCACAGGATTACAATCCTTCATTTGAAATCTTTCCAAAATCTCTTGTGTATATTTCTTCTGGGATATGAAGATTCCAGAGGCAGTTTGTTCAACTTCAATGCCCAAGAAGAAATGCATCATACCAAGATCAGACATTTCAAACTCATGCATCATTGAATGCTTAAAAGCATCGAACATAGCAACGTCATTTCCAGTGTAAATAAGATCATCAACATATAAAGAAACAATGAGCATTTTACCTCCATCTCCAATCTTCACATAAAGAGTATGCTCATATGGACATCTTTTGAATCCCTCCTTTAAAAAATAAGCATCTATCCTGCTATACCAAGCTCTCGGAGCTTGCTTCAAGCCATACAATGCCTTCTTTAGCTTGTAAACTTTATGTTCCTCACCAAGCCTCACATATCCAGGGGGTTGATCAATAAAAACCTGCTCATCTAGGTCACCGTGCAAGAAAGCAGATTTCACGTCCAGTTGATAAATAGGCCATTCATGTTGTGCAGCCAGGGAAATCACTAATCTGATTGTGTCATGCCTTGCAACAGGAGCAAAGACCTCTTTATAGTCAATCCCAAATTCTTGCTTATAGCCTTTAGCTACTAAGCGTGCCTTGTATTTATCCACTTCTCCATTTGCCTTCAGTTTGGTTTTGTAAACCCACTTCACTCCAATTGTTTTGTGCCCTTCTGGAAGATCAGTAAGTTCCCATGTTTTGTTCCGTTCAATGGCTGCAATCTCCTCTTTCATTGCATTTTGCCATTTTGGATCGCTTGCGGCTTCTTCAAACGTAGTAGGCTCGCAATCTGAAAACAATACAAAATGAGTGAGTGGCTCTTCATCACCAGTTACCTCATAGCCGGTCATCCAAGTGGGTCGTTTTCTATTTCGTTGAGAGCGTCCAGTTTCAACTGTTGTGGATGGTTGACCCGTAATATTTGGACAAACAGGAACAGGTTCCTGCCCCTCTTCTTCTTCGTCCTTTTCATTTCCTTCCATGTTGACAGGAACATGTGTTTTTACAGGATCATTGCTCCATGACCAAAACTCATCCTCATCAAAAGTGACGTCACGACTAATGACAATCTTCTGTGTGATGGGATTATACAGTTTATACGCCTTTGAATGAGGACTTACACCAAGAAGGATGCACTTCTCTGCTTTGTCATCCAGTTTGGTCCTCTTCTGATCAGGAACGTGAGCATACGCGATACACCCGAATACTCTGAAATGATTTACAGATGGTGTGTGTCCACTCCATGCTTCTTCTGGTGTCATATTTTGAACAGCAAAAGTTGGGCTTCTGTTCAAGATATGAACACTCCAATTAACTGCTTCGGGCCAAAAATCTTTTGGGACGCCACTTCTCCACAAAATGCTTCGCACCATGTTCAAAATAGTGCGATTCTTCTGCTCACTAACACCATTTTGCTGTGGGGTGTATGCCGCTGTTAACTGCCTCTTGATTCCATGATTTGTGCAATAATTTTTAAACTCCTCGGACAAATACTCTCCCCCGCGATCTGTACGAAGAACCTTGATTGAACGGCCCTTTTCCTTCTCAACCAGTGCTTTAAAGTTCTTAAACGCAGCAAAAGCTTGGGATTTTTCCTTTAAGAAATAAGTCCATATCTTTCTACTATAGTCATCAATGAAAGTAATGAAGTATCTATTACCTCCATTAGAGACTGGCTTTATAGGACCACATATGTCAGAGTGTACCAGATCCAACACATCCTTAGCTCGCCAGGAAGACCTTTGAGGAAATTGAGTTCTGGGTTGTTTGCTAACAACACATTCTTCACACAATTGAGAGGGAGTAGAAAATTCAGGGAGCCCACTGACCATATTCTTTTGTTGTAAAGTCTTCAGACCATTGAAGCTCAAGTGTCCATAGCGATAGTGCCACAACCAGGCGTCATCTTTAAGCTTCGTTGAGAAAGAAGCATGGACAACGTGTCGAAGATGAAGTGGGAACATACGATTTCCTGTCATTTTGACACGAGCAATTAGTCCAAGATTTACATCTTGAATAAGACACTCTCCGTTACTGATTGAGATCTTGTACCCCTTCTCTTGCAGCTGACCCATGCTTAGCAGATTGGTCTTTAATTCTGGAACGAAGAAAACATTAGGAATCACATATGTTGAGTTCTTCTTGGTTTGGATTGAGATCTTTCCTTTCCCCATAACATCCACAGTTGAGTTGTTCCCAAGCTTGACAGTGTCACGATAAGAGGTGTTTAATTCAGAAAACACGTTCTTATCCCCACACATATGGTTGCTGCAACCAGAGTCCAAATACCAAATATTTTGATGAGTATCTTCACTAACGTGGCATGCCATCAGAAGTGATACTTCTGATATTTCTTCTTCCTTCTCAGCAAAATGAGATTTTTCTTCATTTTGCCCATTCACATTGCTGTAGCACTCATTCTGGTAGTGCCCATACTTGTGGCAGCGGTAGCACTCAACATTTGATTTGTCTACTGACTTTGATTTATGATTTGTTGAGTGGTGACCGCCTCGTCCTCCTCCTCTTCCTTGGAATTGATTGGTTTGATGTTGGGTACGGTAGTTGCTTCCTCTTCCTCTCCCACGACCTCTGCCTCGACCACCTCTGTTATTTGATGAGGGCTGGTGATTTACAGAGGCCTTCAAGGCCTGCTCACTTTCAGCTTCCTGGGAAATCAGCTTCTTTTCATGAGCCAGAACAGAGCTCTCCAAGTCATCAAGTGACATTTCATCAGTGTCATTTGCCTCTTCGATCGAACATACAACATAGTTGTATTTTGCCGTCAGTGACCGTAGTATCTTTTGAACAACGGTTCCATCTTGTAGTTCTTCACCATAACACCGCATCTTGTTGACTGTTGCCATAGTCCTTGAGTAATAATCAGAAAATTTTTCACCATCCTTCATCCGGAGTAATTCATACTCCGAACGTAGAGTTTGGAGTTGCAACTTCCTTGTCTTTGCATTTCCCTGGCATTTCTTCTTCATGGAGTCCCAAATATCTTTGGAGGTTTCCTTACAAGGAATGGTCTCCAAAATAGCCCGATCAATCGATTGAAAGAGATAGTTTTTAGCTTTGAGATCCTTCAGTTTCAAAGCTTCCAATTTCGTCCTTTGGTCAGCCGGCATCTCAACTGTTGGAGTTGCTACTGCAGTTTCCACCACGGCCCAAAGCTCCTTGGACCGGAGAAAATTCTCCATCAACATGCTCCAATGATCGTAGTGACCATCAAAACGTGGGATAGAAGGTTGAACAAAACCTTCTGATGCCATCAAACCAACTGTTCTTGCTGCTGCAATGATTAGACAGAGGCTCTGATACCAAATGTAGACTGGGTTTCTTTGGGAACTTTTATCAAACAGGTTGTGAGCAACCTTAATAAGAAGAAATATATGAAACTAATATAAATGGGAGAACTCAGGAAATCAACAGAGGAATCAGAGAAGAACTTGATGATTTATTATTCCATAGGAAAGCCAATTTATAGGCAGTACATGAAAGAAACTGTATTTGCTAAAAAGAAGGAAAGCCATAGAAGTGTACAGCTACTTCCTAAAGAATAGGACAACAAACTTGATTAATACGGAGTACTAAAAATACTGAGTCAATACTAGACTTATTCAGCATTGGACTTATTCAACAATTTTTTGTCACCGATGTTATGTGGTACTCCATATATATGGATTTGAACTGTTAAGCCATTCTGCATTGCTCCAATATTAAGAATACAAACTACTCCGTATCATTTAACATGTATTACTTCTCTTATAAAGTTGCACTTTGTGGGTTGAAAGCCGAAGTAACAATACAACACATAAGAGATGTGACCTAATTCATACTCTCATATTTAGGTGCTTCTAAATTGTCTTCTTGATGGTCTTGATGTACTCTACTACTCTCATCTCATTGTCAATAAGATTATGTTCTACTCCATTCATCCTTTAATTAATGCCACACTTTTCATTCCCGTCGTCCCAAAATTAAAGTCACACTATGAAAGAATGTGGCTCATAATAAATCTCTCTTTTTGAAGTCAAAGAGGGACATTCATTTAGGGACAAAGGGAGTGTATAAGATTTTGAACTATTAAATATTAAGTCATTCCACATTGGTTGAATATAAAAAAAGAAACTGAATATATATAGGACCTTGTATTACTATTACAATATGATTGGAGTTTTTAAGATGGAACCTTAAGAATATGATGTATATACGTTGAGACCAGCAACTTGAGCATTGTAGTCTAAAAAAAAGAGCACACGTCCTAATATGAAAGTACAAACCAACATATAAAACTGTGGATATGGTGGAATTTCAAATCTTGTTACAACACATCAGAAATATGGCCTTATTCATTGTCATATATACCTTCTCTTCTTGTGTCTAATGTTTTTTTGGGGGATATATCATCGTTGGTGTTCCAGGCTTGTGTTCAATACTGGGAGGGATGATATTTTGGGGAGGCATATTGCACCTGTTCGTTGTGTTGAGTACTCATATACTGGTTAGTTTAGCCCCTGGATTGCCAAGGCATTCATTTCATTTCTTATCAATGTACCTTTGATGATCTTTCATAAGACTGGATTTGGCTTGGGGAATAAATGGATGTTTTAACTTTTAACTGAACATTGATGCAACTTAACTATTTGTTTTCAGATCCATTTTCAGTCACACCTTTTCTGTTGCATATATGCGTCATTTATTATGATGTGTTTTTTCCGAAGCTCTTGAAAGTTATTCATGTATATTTCTGAAATTTTAAGGTGCCATTCTGTTCAATATTTCCCATGTATTTCATACTCAGATTCAATAATTAGCTTATACAAGATACAAATAATATTATTTTTATGATTATTATTTTTATTATGGTTATTGTTGTCATTCTTGTTATTGTAATTATTGTTAAACAGGACAAGTGATCACTGGTAGTTGGGATAAAACCATAAAATGCTGGGATTCTAGAGGAGCTAGTGGACAGGAGCATACTCTTGTTGGGACCTATACACAACCAGAGCGTGTTTACTCCATGTCTCTAGTTGGCTACCGGTTAGTTGTAGCAACAGCTGGAAGGCATGTGAATATCTATGATTTGCGAAACATGTCTCAACCTGAACAATGGAGGGAGTCTTCACTGAAATATCAGACTAGATGTGTACGCTGTTATCCTAACGGAACTGGTATATTTTTGAACAGTGTCCTATTATTCCAATTCGTAACACTTTCCTATTTGTTCTGGTATTTTATTGAATATATATATAAGCCTGTTTTCCCACTTGTTTCATAACTTGATAAGTCTTCCTACCTAAAAATGCTAGACTCTCTCTCTCTCTAGTGCATTGTTTGTATCTAATTAAAGTAGTATTGCAGGTTATGCTCTAAGTTCAGTTGAAGGTCGTGTTGCAATGGAATATTTTGATCCATCTGAAGCTGGTCAATCCAAAAAGTATGTACATCATTTTTACTACATTAAGGAACTAGTGTTCACACCTTGGCACTGAGTTAGATTTAACCAATTTTACATGCTAACATTTTAATGTGCAGATATGCATTCAAATGCCATCGAAAATCTGAGGCTGGAAGAGACATAGTCTACCCAGTAAATGCCATTGCATTTCATCCTATGTAAGCGAACAGTATATCCTTCCTCAGTTGTAGTTGAAGAATATTGCATTTTTCCCAAAGAACACAAGACCGTTCTATTGGCTTGCAAATTGATTCTCATTGTAACACATTTTGTGCATTTCACTATCTCTTCTCTAACTTGACACTACAATGCAGATATGGCACTTTTGCAACTGGGGGTTGTGATGGTTTTGTCAATGTGTGGGATGGAAACAACAAAAAGAGGTTATATCAGGTAAGTCCATCAAGTCTGGTTTTAAGATTTTGTGTAATGAGTAATAACAGTAATTATCTTTTCTGATTTTCATTCTTAACCCAACCTGCAGTACCCTAAATACCCTTCAAGCATTGCAGCCTTGTCATTTAGCAGAGACGGCAGACTGTTGGCAGTAGCATCTAGCTATACGTTTGAAGAGGGACACAAACCGTAAGTATATAATAATGTGAATCTGTGATTAGGAGCACATTGTCAGAACCCACATCTAAGTATTAAAGTTAAGAAGATTGGGCTATAAGACATCGGGTTAAACTAGCTAAACCATTTGTTATAATCTTTTAATCTGGTTTAACCCTCATGCGTTAGGGTCTAGTTGACTCTCCTCAATTCTGAAATCTGGATTATATGCCAACACGTGTGAGTTTTATTTGTTTCTGCAGCCATGAACCAGATGCCATATTTGTGCGCAGTGTGAATGAAGTTGAGACAAAGCCGAAACCTAAGGTGCTACCTAATCCTATTGCCTAAGAGGGTGTTGGTAACATTTGATAAGCCATGATGCAATGCACTTGAATATATTTGTAGCGTAAATTTACTCTACAAATATGTTTTGTCGCATTTCATCAAGTCTTACCAAACTACCCTCGACGCGTCTTGGTTCCACTCATTGTATATCATCATCATCATCAAGCAAAACATTTGCTTGAATTGTGAAAACCGACACTCTTCTCTTTCTAGTTTCTGCTTTGATTAGGGCCATTTTAGCTGCTAAAATTTAGATGTTTAGCTTTCTGTGTGTTAAACTTCCCCAATTATTGTCTTTAAGGTAGTCCTATGCACTTCACCTAACAAAACTCACATACAAATTAGGTAAATGGGAGTGCGTGGGGCGTGGGTTGGATAGTACTCCCACCGTTCGGTAGAAAATTCCATTCTTTTTTGTTCGTCAAAAAAACTTTGGTTTCTTTTTAAAGGAAGGAATGAGTAATTCAGAACTCTTCTTTTCTCCTCAAGATTGTTTTTTACAGTTTCCTGAAGGTCAATTTAAAAAAAAGTTACTGCACGAAAAGAGTATATGCTTGCGTATCAATATCGGACGTCTTTATGCTAATGAGTTGCCTAACCAAACTCTTCTTCCCCATACATGTATTAGTGGACCAGGTTTATCATTCATCATCATGCATTAATATACGAGATATCTCAATATGTTTATAGACAATTATCGTCTGTATGGTTTGGTATAAATTTTCATTCTCATCCAATGTCTCCTCAATTTTGGACTCATACTCGTTTCCACGGGTGGACAAAAACATGAACTAGCATTATACCATACAAGACAGTAATGGTACCAAATTTTTTGTTGTGCTTTTACATGGGGTTTATTTTTTTAAATCCCGAACTGATCCCGAATCAATTTCAAATGGAACGGGGTTGTGGTACAAAAATTTAAGACTGGTTATCACAGAACGAATTGTTTGAGATTAACTATGAAGTATCTCAAGTATTTATTTAGGAAAAGGCTAGAGTAACAAACAAATAGTCCAAAAATTTCACAAACTTGTCTTTTGTGGTTTTTAATTAAAATGTTTTTTATTATTTGAGTGCATCTTATTTCTATGAAAATGTTAAAAGGCAAGTTTGTAAATTTTGTGAACTGTTTGTTTGTGACTCTAGCATTACTCATTAATTAATGTATCTCATTGATGGTGTAAATTACTTGACCGGTCAAACTATACTAGACCGGGTCTAGAATAGTTTGCTTGATTTGGTAAAGTAGAGAAGGTAAAAACACACAGATTGACTGGGAAGACTTTAGGTGGAACACCTGTAGCCCAATTTATATTATAATAGAGAATGCATGGGCACTTTTACAAGGGAGTTTAGAATTCGGATCCCCTTCTTCGAGGGTTACAGCAGGTATATATACTGAGTTGCGAGGGACAGAACGGCGTGCACCCATGTGGAGGCACGTTCTAAGCTAGCGGGAGGTGATAGGCTTCGTCCTCTAGCTGCCTTGTCATCTTTTGAAGGAGGCTGTGCCCTTGTCGCGTACTGGCTTGGACAGATTCCTTCAGCATCTCCCTTGATCTTCCAGCGATCCTCCACTAATATGGGTCGCTACAGTCCAAGCCTTTCTAGATTCTCTTCTGCTGACGCTTTCTAACCTTGGAAACCACACTGGGTAATTTCTTAGGGACGAGTTTATCACATCTAAGGAATGAATGAGGCGAAGTAGTTTGACCGGTATACTTTTCCGAAGTATACCGGTCATATTTTGACCAATTGAGCGTCCTCTGGCTGACGATTAAAGTCTCCCTTTCCTGTTCTTTCGGATTGACCGGTCAACTATTTGGGCTTCTCTTTTGACCGGTCATGGGTGGAATACACACATCACTCATCTTATCATACACGGAGTACTTTGAATTGCGTTTTTTCATCGTTTAATATTTTTAGTCTTATTAAGTTTACTACAACGCTTATTGTTTTTATTATCTTATACTAATTATTAGTCCAATATTGTATGAGTATTATTTTAAAAAAAAGTCACTGTCATTAAATTGTAGGCTCATCATCTTTTGTTCTTTGCACTTATCTTCCTCTAAATTTGTAAGCAATTTTATGTACAAAGTTTTGCTCTATTTCATTTAAAAGTTCTGTTATCATTTCGATTCTTGAATGATGGATGCTTAGCTATTTTGGAACGGTTTTAGCACGATATAATATTGTATTCTTTTTTGCTCAAATTAAATTCTATGTTTGTTAATCACTTGGTCAAATTTTATTTACCTTTTTTCTAATTTTTGGTAATCATTTGACAAAAAAATATAATCATGTCACATCTAGTTTTTAAAGATGTAATTTTTATTTTTTATTCTATACTATTTTGAAAATATTGTCTGACAAACATCGTAAATCAAAATAGGCAATTTAATGTAAGGAGAGAGTATCATTTTATTTCAAAATAAAATGATACCGAACAGTTTTAAAGTTCAAAACGTAACAATACCATATATTTTAATAAGCATGATTCGTGATACGTTTAATATCAAGGATTGTCACGTACCGAGTTGGTTTCACTTAGGTCTCAAGTCTCATCTTTGTGGCATAAATCCAATTCTTATAATTTAGATATCTACAGGGAACATTTTTATAAGAAAGATGACTGAAACATAAAGGGCACACATATACATAAGATTAAATGAAACGGGCATAATTTCTAGACCTGGCAAAAAATGACCCGACCTGTTTTTTACCCGAAACCCGACCCGAAAACATTGGGTTTTGAACAAAGGTTTTTATGACCGAACCCGAAGTTGACCGAACCCGAAATGACCTGCTAAAAATGGGTCAAACCCGACCGAACCCGAACCCGACCTGACCGACCTGCTAAAGTAAGAATTTTTCAAAATCATACACTTTACTGCTCGTTTTTAGTGTATAAATTTAGATTTTCTGGCAAAATTTTAATGATATTGCATAATTATCTTACTTTTTTTTAAAATTTAAGCATTTTTTAAATTCCTTATATTGATTTATATGTCTAAAAATTACTTCATAATTTAAAATAGAATAATCTAATAAATTTAATACATTGTTTTTGATATTTTAAACTTATTAAATAGAAAATGTAAGTGTTAATGTGAATTTAAAAATTTAAAAAACCAAAGTCATAACCCGTTGGGTCAACTCTAACCCGATGACACTGGGTCAGGAACATAGAGTTCTCAACCCGAACCCGAAATAACCCGAACTCGAAGTGACCGAACCCGAACCCGACCTGACCGACCGATTTGCCAGCTCTAATAATTTCGAACAACAATGGCCATGCTAAAATTAAAAGTATGAGTATGAATTTTGTGTGAAAGTGTAATAAAATTTGCGTATAATAAAATTTGCTACCCATTATGCCCTTCTTTTTTGGGTCTATGCATTCTGTGTGAAAGTCAATCCATTATACCCATTATACCCTTCTTTGTTTGCTACCCATTTTACCCTTCTTTCATCCATTTTGGGAATTTCTTGATATGATATCCGCTTTAATTAAATTATTCGTATGGATTGACTTGTGGCGATTCTATTTTTCTTTCGCCTTTGGACACTTCCAAAAGTGGATGAAAGATGGTGAGATTTGAATTTGGATTCTAATTAACTGTATATGGAATTTATTGCAGAATCTATCCTCACACAACCATTAATTCTGTAATTAATAGTGGGTCGACTAATGCTAAGCCATCATAATAATTACACATAAATAATGCATTATATATGCTTTGTATAAAATAGTTTTTTTTATCTGGTTAAAGAATAAATTAAACGAAAATCAAAATATGCAAAAATGGGAGAATACATTTTTTCCATTTTGATAAATAAAGAAAATAAATATTTTTTAATCCATTCTTTTCTAATTTTTCCAACCAAACGCAGCCTAATAGGAACTGGAGGGAACAAAAAGTGATGGAAGAGAGATTGATAATGGTCCAGTCGTCCAGATGCTAATCACGCAATGAGCTATGCGCAAGGGTAAAAGAGTAAAAAAAAAAAGCAAGGCTACGTGGCGCGTTAATGACGATAACCTCAGTCTTAATTGCCGTTATTGGAGATTAGCACATGGCACCGAGTGTTCTACAAGATGCTATACACTATATATAGAGAGTGAGTCTATAACTCTGACCACATGTCATCTCAAAAATAAATTTTAAATATTTCTGATTTTTTGTGGAAAAGAATAGTGTATACATACGCTTTAATTTGATAATAATTAATCATATTGAATAATGAAAATTTCATCCTTATATAAAAAGATTGGAAAAATAATTCTAAGACTAGTTTTTCTATAGTTTTAAGATCTACAGATGAAAAGTGGACCCTCACTTTTAATTAGCTTGCAAGTGTGTCTTTGCTTTTTTTCTTTTTTTGCAAAAGATCTAATCTTTTTATAAAAATAAAAAATTTACCAAAATAGTACAATTAATAATGATTTTCTCAATGTAGTACCATATGTTTCTAGTTCTCGATGTGGTACCAGTATTCAATGTTCACTGAACATTGTTTAAACTAAACGTTCACCAGTACTGGACATTGTTCCCACCACTAGACATTATTCAAGTACTATTTACAAAATAAAAAAGGTTGTGTACTACATTACAAAATGACACATATTTTAGTTCTATTCAGTACAGATTTCACATATCAAACACTAAGATCCCTAAATTACGCCTGAACCAGTGAATCTTAGAGTCATAGTAGAGTTACAATTATGAAAACAATGAAATAAGAACATCAATAAATAACAATATCAGGTTTCATACCTATATTCTTAAATAAGTCTATTATTCTATTATACCAACATATATAAATAATGTCACTTCACAAGCGGATACACAAAGATGGTACCAGGGCACCCGTCCCTGGTCAATTTTTTATAAATATAGTGTAAAAATTTTTTAAAAAAATGTAAACTAAATGTTTGCCCCCAGTAAAAATTATTTGTCCCCTCGGTCAAAAAACATTTATTCTAAAAGCAAAGTAAAATACTCCCTCTGTCCACCATAGATCTTCCCAGACACTATTCACAGGGTCAAACTTTATTCACTTTGTTTGCTCATTTTTACTAGTCATTTCATAAAATAACATAGTCTTGTCACCTCTAGTTTTGTAGAATTTTTCATGTAGTTTATTACTATATAAATTTTATTTTAAAATTTGACTCCTATAATCAATTAAATTGAATTGAAAATAAAGTCGGTCAAGCCTCGTAACGCNCTCTGTCCACCATAGATCTTCCCAGACACTATTCACAGGGTCAAACTTTATTCACTTTGTTTGCTCATTTTTACTAGTCATTTCATAAAATAACATAGTCTTGTCACCTCTAGTTTTGTAGAATTTTTCATGTAGTTTATTACTATATAAATTTTATTTTAAAATTTGACTCCTATAATCAATTAAATTGAATTGAAAATAAAGTC